GGGACACTCTTGTAGGACACTCTTGTGGGACATGCGAGACACTCTTGTGGGACACTCTTGTGGGACACTCATACGGGACACTCTTGTGGGACACTCTTATAGGACACTCTTGCGGGACACTCTTAACTCTTGTGAGACACTCTTGTGGGACACTCTTGTGGGACATGCGGGACACTCTTGTAGGGCACTCTTGTGGGACACTCTTGTGGGACACTCTGATAGGACACTCGTGCGGGACACTCTTAACTCTTGTGAGACACTCTTGTGGGACACTCTTGTGGGACATGCGGGACACTCTTGTAGGACACTCTTGTGGGACATGCGGGACACTCTTGTGGGACACTCATACGGGACACTCTTGTGGGACACTCTTGTAGGAGACTCTTGTGGGACACTCTTGTGGGACACTCTTGTGGGACACTCTTGTAGGAAACTCTTGTGGGATACTCTTGTAGGACACTCTTGCGGGACACTCTTGTAGGACACTCTTGTGGGACACTCCTGTAGGGCACACTCTTCGTACGAGACTTCCTCCAAAAGTCACGCTGCGAGGCTGCAAGACGAGCGTTTCGTACGAGACTTCCTCCAAAAGTCACGCGTCAAGTCTCTGCAAGACGAGCGTTTCGTACGAGACTTCCTCCAAAAGTCACTCGTCAAGTCTCCAAAACGAGCGTTTCGTACGAGACTTCCTCCAAAAGTCACATGTCAAGTCCCCAAAACGAGCGTTTCGTACGAGACTTCCTCAAAAACTCACATGTCAAAGTCTGCAAAACGAACGTTTCGCACGAGACTTCCTCCAAAAGTCCAGCGGAAACACCCATCGGAGCACACACATCACGCAGCCCTGCCAAGCAGTTTCGCGATTCCAGCCCCTCCAAACGACACCCGCTCACACGCCAATCCCAATGTGACAGCGACATTCACCTCTACCACAACTCACAACCTCCCGATTCCCTGCGCCTGCCACGAATCTTTCCGCGCCCACACGTCTAACGCGCACAAAGTACTGCGCCTGCCACGAAATGTCACCTCCGTCACACATCGCAACCTCACGATTCCCTGCGCCTGCCACGAAAATCCCACTTCCACACCTCAAAACCCGCACAAAGTCCTGCGCCTGCCACGAAAAGTAACAATGTCATCTCATGTGAGCTTCAACAAAATTTGCACCACACCACACGTTTGGAATGATTTCGGCCCGTTCTGAGCACACTCCCATCCACCCAAATCGGCATTTCAGCTGAGACTTGTCACGAAAACAGAGCTTCGATGCCACACCCTGAAACGCAAATCCCAATGGCACGGCCACATCCAACACCCCAAAAACACGCTCTCCAAACGCTAATCCCAATGGAACTGCGCAGCAATCTGCAGATCTCACCAAACGCTGCGCCTGTGCAGCGAAACGCATCACGTTGCTTGCACGACATGTCTTTTTCACGCAAATCACAATGGAATAGCGGCGCAAACT